GTGAAAGTGTAAAGACACACACAATAAAAATTTATTTAATAAATTTTAATTAATTTTATTGAGCTATACATTTTTCTCTGCTTCCATTCCCCTCCCCTTCTATCATCTCCCATGCTCCCCATACTCTCAGTCTACTCAGTAGATCTTGTCTTTTTCTACTTCCCATGTAGATTAGATCCATGTCTTATGGTTCTCACTGTTGTCTAGGTTTCTGGGATTGTGAATTGTAGACTGGCTTTTCTTTGCTTTATGTCTAAAAGCCACTTATGAGTAGGGTAAAGGGAACACTCATGCATTGCTGGTGGAAGTGCAAACTGGTACAGCTACTTTGTATATCAGTTAGGTGATTTCTCAGAAAATTGAAACAACCTTCCTCATCACCTAGCAATACCACTTTTAGGAATATACTCAATGGATGCTCAATCGTTCCACAAGGACATGTGCTCAACTATGTTCATAGCAGCATTGTTTGTCATAGCTAGAACCTGGAAACAACCTAAATGCCCCTTCATGGAAGAATGGATTAAAAAAAATGTGGTATATTTATACAATGGAGCACTACATAGCAGAAAAAAAAATTAATGTCGTCTTGAGATTTGCAGGCCAATGAATGGAGCTAGACAACATCACATTAAGTGAGGTAACTCAGATCCAGAGACACACACAACTTTTGCTAGACTGTTTCTTATTGGTTGAATTAAATGCTATGACCTATTTCTCCTTTGCTCAAATACAAGTGAGGAAACATCTTTCCTTCTATTTCACAATCTTTACCCAAAAGGTGTTTAATTTTACCTTTGCTGTCCTCCTTGAATTTGAATATATACCTTTTAATATGATACATATTTTTATAAGAACTTTTGAATTTGCCTGTGAGCAGATTCTCCCAATGTGTATTAAGTTTTTTTTTCTTTCAAGGCAATCATATCTGGATCTAAAAGAGCATAAATTTTGATTCCTAGTAACTGTATTTATGGGTCTCTAAAGAAAAAAAATGAACAATGGCATGTTCATTCACAGCACTTTTTTAGTTATCTACAACATTAAAAGTTTGAACAGTGCCTGAAACTTCTGGAAGCTCTATCAGCACTCTCAAACTAGCTTCTAGAATACTCTGACAACATTAAGTACAGCCTCATAAAATAGATTGAAAAAAATTTTCTCATTATGCAATTTTCTATTAAAGAGAATATCTGCCTACCAAGAAAAATGCCTAATAGCAACTAAGCTAGATTCCCCAGGGAAATAATAGCCCTCTGGTTGAAAAACAAAACCAAGCAACTAACCCCTCACAAGCCTTTTCTTCTTATCATAATACAATTGTTGCTGACTCCCTTATATTTTATCTAGATTTTATTTTATAGTAAAGGTAGGAAAATACTGAATGTTTCTAAGTAAAAGTCCAATAATATCTTGTATAATATTATTTATGTGGCAAGAAAGAAAGGAATGGGATTTACAAGAGGGAATTTACTGTTTTTTGTATCTTAAAAGCTTCCTCCCTAGAGGAATACCTGACAAAGCAAAATGCTGCTATGCATGGAGTTTGTTGTGTACCTTAAATCTCTGCACTCAAGAGGTTGAGACAAGAGGATTGTAAGATCAAGGCCCACAGAGGATTTATAGTGATAGTCTGTCTCAATTTTTCTTAAAGAAAAATTAATAATTAAAAATCAACCGGGAAATAATCATACTAAAAGATCTTTGAACTACTTAGGAAAACAGCCAGATGAACCTGTTTGTACAGATTGCTAATGCTCCCTGCTGGATCCGTCAGTCAGAGATGCTGTGGAACTTTCCTTTCTTCTTTCCCTAGGAAACAAAACAATACGTGCAGAGAAGTAGGAGCTTATTAGAATAAAAACATAACACGGATGCTGATTCTCTTAAATACACCCAGGCTACTGGCTTTGCTTATGTTGGTTAGTTGTTATGCACATCGTCATCTTTCCACTTGATCAGGTTTGTTTTCATAAGGAGGATTAGAAGACACACACGAGACAATTATTCCACATGGAGTACAGGATAAAAAGGCTGCTTTCCAGGTAGAGATTGAGTTAAGTTACACGCAGAATTAGAAACTGGAAATAGATATGGTTAGAGTGCCTTATAACTAGACAAGAATATCCAACAGCTGCATTTTACCACTGCAATGGTTGAGTTGGACTCCTCTCAGTGCTAGGGTCTTGCAGTGCAGATTGAAGAGGCTGTGGAAGTACGACAATGTGAATAATTCCTGAAGGAGTAATAGGGCATGATTTGACTTTCTATCATAACTGAAGTTAAAATTAAATTCTTCAAAACCTCCGTTGCCAGACTCTTATTAGGAAATGACTTATCTTAGGGATCTTAATATTTAATATTAAGTTATTTCAGATTTTTTTTGCAGTAATACTCATACTTTAAAAAACTTCTCCCTCATCTTGCCTGAACTTCATAACATTTTGCGAGGCAGATAGGGCAGAAAAGATGTTATCAATAAAAATGATGTGCACAGAGAGGCACAATGCCTAAAGTCATATTTCCCCAGTGCTCTTCTTGTCCTTAGATCATTTCCTGTAAGGTTTCTCTGCTACGGAAGCTGAGCTGATTCAGTAGGTATTGTTGTTATATACACTTTTCTGTAAGTTTTTCCTTTAACACAACAAATTGAAGAGATGAATTTTATCTTAGAGTCAAGGAAAGAGAAACAAATTTATAGACTCACATGTTTTCTATTACAGGTTTAGAAACACACAGTGATAGGAATGCAAGTACGAGAGTTGCGCCCTGGTTACTAGGACTGGAGGCTGAGTTCTAATATTTAGCTTTCGTTTTTATATACAAGTAAAATAGAAAGGAAATGCACTAGATAATTTACATCCCAGCTTTGTTCTTTTCAAGAAAAAGCGAGCTCCAAATATTATGCACTTTTTGGATTTGTACATGTTATCCATCTCTGTCCTTTTGCAAATATTTATTCATATTTCTCTGAATAAGTATAAATTTTGTGTTGTTATTGAGATTACAATCTTAGTCAGACAATGGTAGTGCATGCCTTTTATCCCAGTATTTAGAAGCAGAGGTAGGTAGATCTCTGAGAGTTTGTGGGCATTTTGGTCTACAAGAGAGTTCTAGGACAGCCAGGGCTGTTAGAAAGAGAAGCCCTGCCGGGC